GATTGAAATCCGAGCTTTCCAACAAGCACTTGAACATGGATGAAAACACTCTTGGCTCTCAAGTCCATTATGAAGAGATGGTAATGAAACTTTGACCATGAAATATAGCCAACAATTACTCACTGGAACGGGTTTGCCATGTCAAGTCACTTTTATCCGTAATGCTTTTATAGTTAAGTTGTTCATCTCTGTGGTGGAAATTGTGAAATTTCAAAAAGACACACACACAAACACACCAACACACACACACACACTACCCATACCCCTCTGACCTTGGAGGCACTCTCATTGCCTTTAAAGCGCACTGTAGCGCCCAGCAGTCTGTCTGCTACTGGAGCTAATTGGCTTCAGCTCAGTGTTCACTGTTAACGTCTCATTACTCATTCCACTTAGAATAACTTCCACAAGTTTGCTTGTGTTCTGGGGTCATTAAAAGTCAAGCAAGCCTTTAATTACTAAAGCGGATCGTTCAGTGAGTAAAGTTGCATCTCCCAGCAGCTCTGAATGTACGGTGTATATCCTTACTAAGTCCTGTGCAGAATCACACGTGCAACACAGTGATCCCACGGTGAATGGCACCAAATGATTGTGATTGATTGTGTTTTATATAACTATGCAACGCCTACACCGCTTAAGGAAACAGCAACACTGAAACTCAAAAGCACTCACACCCCTGCACAAACGGCCCACACCAAACAAAAAATCTGATCATTAGAGGGATTAAAAGACAAAAGGGTGCTTTAATCTTTGGCCTCCCTTTAATTACATAATGGTCAGATTGATTATCAGAAACTTGAGGGGGAAAAAAAGATTATTTTCTCTTGAATAATAAAGACAAATAAAAAAAAAGATTTAAAAAATGAATTAACAAAATCCTATGGGGTTTATGTATTCAATTACAAAGGATTTATGGTTGATAAAGACACTCAGCTTCTCTGAGCATTGCATCATGTGTGTTTTTTTAATATATTTTTTTTTCTTCCAATAATTCACTCTGACTAATGTTCCAGATCTTCTGTGAAATATGGGAATCTTTAGTGGTGGGTCTGCCCTGCTAATTGGTACAACCGCCTCAGGCGAGCTCACATCTAACAAACTGAGCATCGTTCACCGGGCTGCGTCTCTCTTGCTATGGGAACACTGTAAAAATAGAAAGATGACAAATAAAAGCTTAATTAGAACGGATGGCTGTACATGCCCACCCTTACTGGTGACATGGATATTGCACGTGTGCCGTGTGTCCTAGTAACATTTCAAATAATCTTAGAAATAAAACGAAAATTGACCAAAATGTTATAATACAGAAATAGACGTGTTGATTTTACAGAGCGGCCCATTGCTTTAAAGGGGCTGTACATTGTAGGCCAACAAATAGCATTAGCGTATTGATACTGCAATAACACTGATATGACTGGAGAGATGGATGCATGCATGGTGGCACAGTGGAACGCGCACACGCACTCGCGCACGACCCATATCTGTAAAAATCCACAATCCTTTTTCCTCATCAAGGCGAATGGGCAGACTTAAAAATAAAAAAAATAAACGTCAATAATCGTTATTATTAATTTCTCCTCTTTATTTAAGATGTGTGTTAATTGTAATGCGCAGTAAATCTTCGCTGCAGATGAACAGAAGACTGCCGTTCATTAAAAGACGTGCGGCATTAAGTAAGGATTAAAACTGGGGCATGCAGGGCGACTGTGCACCATATTGTAGCCTACATCTGCCTTTAAATCCACAATAAATTAATAAAAGCAATGGTGGGTTGTTACAGGATTGGCTGGAATATGTAGTTTGGCACATGGTTAAATACCGATTTGTGATTTATTTTTATTGTCTCTTTTAAAATAAAGAATTAATCTGAACAATTAATCTGGGGCAGGAAAGAGTAATACATTAGTAAAAAGAAGAAAAAAATACTTTCAGTTTCCTTTGACCAATAACGTTTGATTAAATACGTAAGATACAATTATTAGTATTTTTTAATTTTTTATAATCGAATGAAAAAAATAAAGAAATCAGTGCTTTGTGGTGATTCGGGCTGGCTCCAGTGCGTTTTGAGAAAAGAAGGTGATGCATTTCAATATGGTAATCACTCACCCGGGGCATGTTTCATTTATTGACAGATTTGATGTTAAATGTCTCAAGCTCACTTAGTGTTGTAGCTTTTAATTTATTATGTTTTGAGCTCTCTCTCTCACTCCCTCTTTCTCCCTGCTCTGACCCTTCGAGGTCACACAAGCAATTCTTTTTTTAAACGCATGATTAATTTCTCAGTAGGGCGACGGGATACAGCATTATGAAAAAACGTGAAATGTATTCCGAAGGGGCTAATAGCGCTATTGTATTCCAATAAGCCCTGTTCCTGCTTCACATGGTTTAGACATGCTCCGCTTTTGATAACATGTCAGACATCTTTCGCGGGGGGACAGAGAAAGTTGTGCGTCATTATGCTCTTTACAAAAAAAAGAAAGTCGTTTAACAACACCGGGAATTCGCTATGATTTTATTAGATATGTCAGTGTAGCCATAAACTTAGCTCATTAGGTTTTTATTATTATACGTCAACATTGCTCCGTGAGAGGGTGTCAACGTTTCTCAGCACATAAATAATAATATATTTCAATTTATAAAACACGTTTTATAGCTATACATAGACTAAGCTAGACCACAACTCTGCAGCAAATGTACAAAAGTTGAACCCATAACCTTCAAGTTACTACCCTTCACTGATACTATTGGGCATACAAATACCATGAAAGTCACATATAAAAACACATATAAACATATAAAATAGTACATTATACAAACACTTATCGATACAGACAATTATTAGCTTTTAAAGCTACTCCACCTGGTATGTGCACCCTATTATTTCCACTCATCTCTCTATTGTGACGTCATCCGTTTCAATCGCTGCAGCCCGTGCGTGGTATCCCCCCCTTGTCCCATCGCAGCCAGTGTTCCCGTGGCGTCCGCGAGACAAAAGCACGCGCGGTGACAGCCTAAATTGGTTTGAAAAGGAGCAGATGGGTCTCATGCCCTATATGCTGTGTCGTTTACGCACACACACACACGAGCCACACGCACACAGATTTAACACTGAGCCTAAGAGCGACCATGTCATGTTTATCAAGATGGTACTGAGGGGGAAAAAAACATGGGCGAGAATAAATTACAACCAGTCTCAATATCCAACAGCCTTTTAACCAGATTTAGAATTGTTTCGTAGATGCATTTACATTTTTTTTTAAACGATTTAAAAACAAGTTGGATCAACTATTTTGAAATGAAGTTTCAGTGTAGTGAATTTCCTTATCTTAAATAAATTACAAAACATTTAGAAAAAAGAGGTTTTGACACACTTAAATTTAAGTCTATCCCAATCACTCACAGACTTGTAAAAAAAAAAGGAAAATTGCAAGTTATGGTAACAATGCATCGATGTGAAGGAATCCTTTAATTGGCATGCTCACAGAATGTGCAACTAATATAAACTTGCATTACCAGCTGCTTCGTTACATCCATGCTTGTTTTGGCCCTCTATTTCACCTTTAACCCCCCCAGTTCAGTGGTAAACTGTAGGTCAACACACCTGTGTTATGTTAATGCTGTATTTGTGAATAAGCAGCCCATTTTATCAGCCAATGGCAGAACGTTTTTTCTATGTCCCAGACATGAAACATGGGCCACAGAAAACAATTGTCCCGAAAACAACTTCATTAAGTTGTTTTTATTAACACTGACAATCAGTGTTTGGGACACTTCCCTGCAACCCGCAGAGTTAAATGAGATCCTCTCTTGCATCCTGCATACATCTGCTGATGACTGAGGCAGCTAATATGGGTTGCAGACTTCATATTTAGGTCTGTCCCTTCATATCAGTAATTTGCCTGCATATTTTTAGTGGAAGAAGTAATTGAGCAGCAGGAGCAACATGCCTGGTTTTAGAGGAGCAGGGGTGTAGCGAGGAATTCCTCAGCCCGCAGATGGAATACTGATCCCCCCCCATTTTGTTCAGTGAAATAACCTCACACTGCAACTTTTGAGGGTCCTCTCCAGGTGATTTGTCCCTGCCTTTTATAGCACTGGGCACTAGGTGGGAGCTCCTCTGACCCTCAATTCGGCTACAACATCTGATCTTATGGCTATATGCTTCCTTATAGGCTTATGTTTTACTCTGTTTAAAAGCTACATATCCGATGCCAAGCTCCTCTGTTGGGTGTGTCTGCTGCTGGCAGTTTGTTGGTAATTGATTTGCATCTCAGGGGTTGTGAATTAAAAGTCACACTCCTTTGTTGTTTATAGGGCCCCCCCCCCCTAACACACACACGCAACCACTTAAAGCATGTGCAGTCAAACCTGCAGACACCCATCTGATGGCGACAGCTTGTCTTCAAATTAATACTCATTACCTCACTAATTTAGTGGCAAACTAAGCTCATTTTGACTCTGGTTCGTCTGCTGTGCTGTTATTGTAGTCGAGGAGATTAAGAGTTTCATCGCTGTTGGTGGGGGTCATTTCCTGCACGCGCGAACGTGAAGACTGTGCGTATTCAGGTTCGTGCATCTTTCGTCAGCTCATGCTGATGGTTTGAATTCCCCGGTATTCGAGGGGCAGTTAGTCGGATGTCATTCGTGTCTGTTCGGTCCGAACGGGGCAGGACAGCGCTGAAGGAGAGGAGAACTAAAAGTGTGTGTGGGTGTGTGTGAGAGAGTTTACGTGTGTGTTCTGGATGGTGGGCTGAGCTCGCGCTACACGCCAATCAAACACGAGGCAGAGAGAGAGAGAGAGAGAGAGAGAGAGAGAGAGAGAGAGAGAGAGA